GGAAGATGAGGGACAGGATGCCAGCTGTCCTCCACTAACCAACAGCAGTGGCTGACCCAGACAGGGCTGCTATGCCCTCAGCAGGAGCTCCTGCAGGACACGCCCTCCCACCCATTTATCTAGGGTTGTTTTTGTTTTTTTAAGATACTGAGGTGTGTGTGTGTGTGTGTGTGTGTGTGTGTGTGTGTGTGTGTGTGTGTGTTTAAGTTTTTCGGGACCCCCTTCCAATCTCAACCTCAGCCAATATGATTCTTACTTAGTCACTTCTTTACCAAATTGGTATCTTATCACTTGAGTGAAATAGGGCTTGGTTTTAAAAAGCAAATGTGAAAAATTTACTCTGTAAGAAATGCCTGCTATGTGACAGCTGCTTAATAATCATTTAGTCGATGGAAAACAACTCAATATTCTACTGATATAATGAATAGTATTTTTTAAGCTTAGTCAGAAATTGTCCTTAAATTGGCTATAGTTGCTATTAAGAAACAATGATTTAGAAGTGGTAGAAGCAACCCCATGGAAATGGGTTTGGTTTGGATAAAACACAGAGGTGGGAGAGAAAGAGAGCGATATCATTGTCTTCAACTGCAATCACAAGTGTACCACTGCAACGGAAATATGCAACATTTGAAAGCCTTCTCACCTGTACAAAACAGGTGAGTTTTCACATATCCAATGAATGTTGTTTTACGATAGTTAACTTATACTTCAGAATAATTATATTGTTAAATCTATTTAATTCCAGCAAGTGCTGCTGGGGCAACTGAGTATCCACAAGCGCAAGAAGTAACCTGGGCTCCTCCTTCACCCATAGGCAGAAAATTAGCTCACAATGACATCAGACCTCAGTGCAGGAGGTGAACCTCTAAAAACATGTGATTGCACGGGTTCAAATCTTCAAGGCAATGGCTTCTTAGACATACATAACACCACAACCACAAAAGAAAAACACAAATCAGACATGAAAACCTACAATTAAGGTTTTAAGTCTCAAAAGGCACATAGTAAGATATTTGTAAACCATGTGCCTGGCACTGACTTGCACCCACACATGTGTAACTCTCACAATTCTGACGATGAGAGGAGAAATAATGCAAGCCAAAAAGTGAGCAAAGACCTGCATACGCATTTCTCCAGAATGGACCTACAAATGACCACTAGCACATAAACGTTTTTAAAAATAAAAAGATCCTCTGTGTCACTACAACTAAGGGACTACAAAGAAGCAATAGGTGCCATTTCACTAGGATGGCTGCCCCCAAACGACAAACAGTGACAAGTGCTGGTGAGGACGCAGGTAAACGGAAACCCTCACACACCACAAATGGAAATTAAAATGAAGAAAGCAATCTGCCAAGACTCAAAAGATTATCCCAGGCATCCGCCACTCCACTAGGGAAACACACACCCAAGAGGACGGTGAACATGTCTACACAGAAACCGATACACCAGTGTCCAGAACAGCATGTTTCACAATAACCAGAGTAGCAATCACCTAGTAATTGTCCACTCACGAAGGGATAAAAACATGTGTATTATTCAGTCATACAAAAGGAATGAAGTACAAGTACATGCCACAACATGGAAGGTCTTGAAAACATGATGCTACGTCAAAGAAGCGAGACACAAAGGCCATTTATATGGTCCCCTATGATTCCATTTATATGAAATGTCCAGGACTGGTAAGCCCACAGAGAGAAAAGCAGTTGGTGGTTCCCAGGAGATGAGGGTCTTATTGCTAAGTGGGCACAAGGTTTGTTTGGGGATGAGAGTGGAAAGATTCTGAAATTAGACAGTGCTGAGGTTACAGAACTCTTTAAAGAAGGCTGTACTTTGTGGATATGTGAAATAGACTTCATGAAGCTATTAAGTAAACAAAAAAAAATCTAAGTTAAGGAAAAACTGCGAAGACATTCACCTGATCCGACAATGCCTTATCCAGTCAAATATTTATTTCCATGAATACTGCATGAAAATTTGACTTGCCAAAAGGTGAAAAACAACTTGTGTTGTGTTGCTGGAGGGAGAGGGTTGGGCATGAGTTTGTCCTGAACACATGAATTATAAAAATAAAGGAAATAATTGAGTGTTTATTTTTTTAACTACTAAAAAGTTCAATTCCCTAAACAACAACATTAAACTATCACTTTAAGTGTTAATTACCTGGTCGCTACATTTTAAAACTCAAACCGATGGTTCATGTCAAAACTATACCTGCATCAAAGTATCACCTCCCTGCCAGAAAACAAAAAAATCCAAACATCTAAATTACTGGTATTATTCTACAATGGTCTTTCACAAACATAAATGTCTAGTATTTCCAAAAAAGTTTATCAGCACGGACTAGTGTTAATTTTAGTAAAATGTCTTTAGGTAGAGCTATACCTTGAACATTTTGTACTTAGCTAAAAAGGTGTCCAAGAGAATAGTAGTTTCTACACAAGCTGCTTTCTAAACATCACAGAGGAAAACTTTTTTGTGAACCGGAAAAAGGCAAGTTTCCACATAGGTGCAGGAAATAAACCAAGATCATTTCTGCCAAGAGACTATATATCCATAAAATATACCAAGCCTCCTACTCACACACACAACACAACCCACACAACCCACCCAAAACATACACACCTATTTTCCAACCGCATCGGCATCCACAGAGGGACTACATAATTACACGTATTGTCCTTGGCACACAGAGACACTGGGCAGGAGCTGGCTGTGTTTTCTTTAGACAGTGAATCACACCTGTTCTGAGTCTCATCTACTTTACAATCAATGACACATGGTGCCAACACCTGAGGTTAAAGATGCAAACTGACGCGACAGGTTATATTCTCCTTCCTGGGATGCTAACTGCTACCAAGAAACAAATAAAATGGCTAGCGTGATGGTCACTGGGGTTCATCTCAAATTCAACGAACAACTGCTCCAGACTCAAAATTATGGTACTCGGTTTTGTTTAAATAATAAGACAGAATTAGCAAAATGGTGCCCATCTTGAGCAGGGCTGGGAATCAAGTTGGTAATAAACATAGTGACCAAATACTTTGGTTTTTCACACAGTCACAGCTTCAAATATTTTGATTCATAAACTGTCCCAACCCCAGGAATGCCACTACTATGAGGTGCACAGAGCGCATACCCACGATTACAGCTACCACCACAAAGGGCCCAAACTTCCAGAGCCCCCACCCCGCCCTCCAGAGGTCAGGCATAAAAGCCCAATTAGGAAGCAGAATAAAGTGAGGAAAGAGCCACCGACACTCAGGCTGCAGATGCTACAGGGAGAAACCTGCCCTGCTCTGCAGTGACGGATCCCTGGGGGTGAAGTCGTCCAAAGGCTTCTCCAGAGACAGGTCCCAGCTGAGCTGGAAGTGCAGTCTCCGTGAGCACAGGGAACCTCCCAACCGGAAAGAAAGGCCAGAAAAGACTGACGGGAGAGGCATCAGCTCAACAGCAACAAGTTTTGGGGCTCGAAGCAAAGAACCGTGAGGGAAGATGATGGCCCACGGCCAGACGGTCCCAAGTACTGGAACTTTATTCTGCAAGTCTTTACCTTGTGATGTGAGGTGGAGAGAATGTTAAATTGTGCAAGCTGTTATTTTACCCAAAGAATAAGTGGAGCACATACTTTCCTAAATAAAACTTCCCCAGCCCTGGACACAAGAGTTCAAAGCCAGGTACAAGAGGCTG